TATAGCACAATAGTATTCCATTACATTCATAAACCACAACCTATTCAGCCATTCCCCAATTGATGAGCATCCTCTCAATTTCCAATTCTTCAACACCACAAAAAGAGCTGCTATAAATATTCTTGTACGTGTGGGTCTTTTTCCTGTTTTTATGATCTCTTGGGGATACAGACCTAGAAGTAGTATTGCTGGGTCAAAGGTCAGGCACAATTTTATAGCCCTTTGGGCATAGTGCAAATTGCTCTCTAGAATGGTTGGATCAGTTCAGAACTCCACCAACGATGCATTAGTGTTCCATTTTCCCCACATCTTCTCCAACATTTATCATTTTCCTGTTTTCTCATGTTGGCCAATATGATAGGCGTGATGTGGTACCTCAGAGTTGTTTTGATTTGCATTTCTCTAATCAATAGTGATTTAGAGCAGTTTTTCATATGATTATAGATAGCTTTAATTTCTTCCTCTGAAAACTGCCTGTTCACATCCTTTGACCACTCATCAATTAGGGAATTGCTGTGACTTTTTAATGGTTCACTTCAGATAGTGCTAACTTCTTGCACACCAAAATCAATTATGAAAAAACCTCCAAATTTCAACAGTCAGAGAAATGTGAAAGTCATCTAAATGCCCACAGATTGGGGAATGGCTAAACAAATTGTGAAATATGAATGAAATGGAATATTACTCTGCTATATTATAAACATGATGAATACAGTCTAGCATGATAAAACTTATGAACTGATGCAAAGTAAAGTACGCAGAACCAGGAAAACAGTAAACACAGACTGAGACAATGCAAATGGAAGAACAACAACAAAATAGTCAAAACTACATGCTACAAAAATATAAACCAAACTTGACCCCAAAAAAGAAATATGAAAAGATATCTACCGTGCTTCTTTGCCAAGATGAAGGAATCATGTCAATTCAAGTGAAGAAGCATTTATTAGATGTTTATTATGTGCCAGTCACTGCTTTTAGAGCTGGAAATACAAATAGAAGTAGAAAGGAAGACTCTCCGTCCTCAAGGAGCTTACATTCTAATGGAGGAAGACAATATATAAAAGGAAGATAAAAGGAGGACAGAAAGGTGGAATATTTGTAGAGAAATTCCAGAGTGCAAACCAGGAAAGGAATGAGACAGGGCTGGCCTGGGCAGCCTCCTTAAATACCTCCCTTTCTGGGGAGACTTATCCAATCAGAGGCAGAGGTTACAGGATAGGTGGATACTTCTGATGCAAATTCCAGGTATGGCTTCAGCTTCAAGATAAAAAGCTGGGCATAGGTGTGGAATATCACATATAAAAACAGACTTTAAATTCTGTTTTGTGGAATTCATTTTTTTCCTTTCTCCATACTTTATTATAAGAGACAGCCCTCTGGGGTGGGGTAGGGAGGAGCTAGACATAAGGTTTTACATTTATACACCCACATTTTCATATATACATGTAAAAAATTATTTTAAAAATGAGCAGAAAAACAAAAGTCCAGTTATCAAAAGGCAGTAATCACAGATATATACCTGTTGGCAGCCTATTCATAATGCTGCAAGCCTCACCTCTGTCTAGGCATGAGAGTTAGCCATTTAAAGGAAAGGGAAATACCTCATTCTGACTCCCTATGAATGTTCCTCACCTTAGCCACACTCTCTCCAAGCCTTCTCAAAACTGAACTGGGTGTTACATTCTTTATATGACTGCAAATTGGAGAGGACCACAGTGAGTTGGTTTACAATTCAAATTTTTTCAAGGCTAGTACCTGATTCTTTTTGGAATTTGTCCTGAACCATTTACTCTCTGACTGCTCTATAAAATTTTATATTGCACCCTAGAAACTTAACTATGTGTTATCAAGAGGATTATGACTTCTAGAAAGGAAATGAAGATCAAACAATAGTATAAACTGAGGCGATGTTTATGAATAATACTACATATAAGAATAAAATATGGCATTGAATGGCAGCTTTCTGCTTTCAGGATAGTTGACTTGTTGTCGTTGTTTTAATTTTTAGGTAAGTTGTTATTTTTTCTAAAAAGCTAACTTTAGGGGCAGCTAGGTGGCGGAGTGGATAGAGTACCGGCCCTGGATTCAGGAGCACCTGAGTTCAAATCCGGCCTCAGACACATAACACTTATTAGCTGTGTGACTCCGGGCAAGTCACTTAACCCCATCGCCTAGCCAAATATAAAAAAAAAAAAAAGAAAGGAAAAAAAAGCTAACTTTATGCTTTTACACTTGTGGCTACCTTTTCCATCAATGCAGATTCCAACCCATCCACATTTTCTCATCTTAACCATTTTTCTCCACATCTCTCCATAAATCCTCCATAGAAGTAACCTCCTAGCACAGCTAAGATCTTCTGGATCTTTTTTTATATTTTATACACAGTGGCAGCTGGATGAGTTCATTGGATAGAATGTTGGGTGTGGAGTCCAGAAGACCTGAGTTCAAATTTGATATCAGACACTTAATAGCTATATGACGCTTGGCAAGGTGACTTCCCTTCTGTTTGCCTCAGTTTTCTCAACTATAAAATCGAAATAATACCTCGATAAACCCTACCTCGAAGGGTTGTTGTGAGAATCAAATGACATAATATTTGCAAAGCACTTAGCACAGTGTCTGGCACATAGTATGGGCAATATAAAACAGGCTTCTTAAAAAAAAGATTTCATAGCACTAATTTAATTAAGATAAAAATGGAGTGAAATCTGTGAGACCTAGCAAAGACTGCAGCTAAGAAAACAACTTGGAAAATAGTGCCTATGATTACACAAAGGCAATTATATTGCACTGAATGAATGAATAAATAAAAATGTTATTGTCTGTTATGTACCAAGCCCTGGGAATATAAGCAGAAAAGCAAGACAGTCCCTCTGTAGTTGGACAGATTTCTTCGGAGGTCAATCAAAGCAATATTCAATAATCTAATTAAAGCATAGTAGAGTATGCTCATGATAACCTGGAAATCCAGCCCCACAAATAATTTTTTTCTTAATCTTGCAAAAAAAGAAAAACCATGAAGATCATGCATATATATGTGGATATTATATATACATACAATGTACATATACTTATATATGTATATAGCTCTCAAGAAGCTCGCCCTCCAATTGGGAGGGTTTAACACATAAAAGAAAGCTCTAGAAAGGTGAAAAGCAGTATTTGCAAAATTATGTTCATTACTTTTGAATAGAGACCTTTGCTGTCTTCACCCCCCAGTAGCTGATCACGCCTGAAGGGGAACAGAATAAAGTTGACCAGGAAGGTATCTAAAGGCAGCCCCAATCCATGTGGAAATTTGGGAAGACAAGGGAAGAAGTGGACAGAAAAGACAGATGGTGATGTCAGTTGGCCAGGCCCAAAATTCTGTAGATCAAGTCAGCAGGTCAGATGACTGCTCAGGGGGTCTATTAGCCATTGAGTCAGAGAAGTTGAGAGGACCTTAAGGATGCAATGGCACGGCAAATAATAAAGTGGGGGAGGGGTGACTCTCATTCCATCCAAGCCATGTGAGCAAACTCTTATCAATTCTAGAGAAATCTCAAATATCCCCCAAAAACACACATCTCAGCAAAGATTTCACACAGGAGGAGGCAGACAGAAAACAAGGTCAACTCTAATTCCCTGTCTCTAGGGAATCTACCTCTAGTCTATCATCAATATTTATATGAACACAAATATGAAAATATACATGGGTCCAATCTCGTAAGAGACAGCTCAGGATGGTAGGTAGAGATTCAGGAGTCAAAAAGACCTAGTTCTTCTGACATATTCTGGCTGGCTGCTTAAACCTAAGTAAATCACTTAAAACCTCCCAGTGACCTCATGCAACTCTCTAAGCTTCATGGTAGTTTAAAGTATTCATGGGTAGAGAAAGTTTCTGGAAGGGGAGCTCCCTGCATTGAAGAAATCACAGATGAAAAATATGTAGTTAACACATATGTATAAAATATTGTATACTAAAATAATGTTTTCGCTATTAATATTGTATGTACACATATGCATACATAAATGCATGTATACATATGTAACATAAGGTGAAAAATGCCTGTATTCGTGGGGCTGGATTTTCAGACTTAGAGAGCACACTTTTTCAATTAATTAGATTATGGATTATTGCTTTAATTGACCTCTGAAGAAATTAATCCAACTTTAAAATCTTTTTATTGTGATTCGCTTTACAATAGGGACACACATACACACACGAAAGTATGGGCTCAGGTACTGCTAGTTCTTAGAGTTGGAAGGAATCTTAATTTACAAGTGAGGAAACTGAGGCCCAGAGAGGTTGAGTGACTTGCCCATGGTCACAATTTGTTAGCAGCTGATCATTCATCCCATGGTACCACATTTCCGGACTTTAACAAAGTAAACTTTTAAGATTTAGTTTTACTGTTCTGAGTCTAAGAGTATCGGGAGGAGGGAAAGCAAACCCAGTCAGGGCACTCAAATTATGGGATTCAAACCCAAGTCTTATGACTCCAAATCGGGGGGTCTCTCCACTGCTCCACTGTGATTAACTCAAAGACAAATAAACATTAAGCTGAATCTTATTTCGAATTCCAAACAAGCAAAATTTCATCATTATCATTCTTATAACTAGTATTTCTTGATATGTGAGCACCTGCCTAACTTAAAATTTACAAGCCACAGTCGCTAGTGCAGCAGAGACACTTCCAATTCCTTACAGTCTTCTCTCAACCCCAGCATCTGGTTTCAAACCCGCTTCCTGGACCCAAGCTACACGATCCCGGGGTGGGGACTTGAGACCCGGGGCTTCCCCTTCTCCCCTTCCCTCCCCAAGCTTTGCAGCCACTCGCTGAAAGACTCCCAGCTGAGCAGGAGAGCTGCAAAGTTAAGAAGAGGGTAGGGTTACTTCTGGTTGAGTGACTCCCAGAGGAGCGCCCCGACGTGAAGCTACTGGGGTTGCAAACCCAACTCTCCTCAAGTCCGCCCTCCGCCCAGTTCAGACTGGATCTCCAAGGACCTGGGATTACCTCAAGCTGAACTCTCATCGCGTCAAGGCAATCCGGGTTTCTCCTTAGGTTGGTGTGATGCGCAGGGCTGGGAAGTCCTGCCGTACTGGAGACTTGCCGCGTCTCTCCTAGTCTCCTTCTTCTCCTCCCAGTAGAGAAAACAGAGCAATCCCCACTTAACCGAGATTCCAGCCTCCAGGGCTCTCTCCACCTGCAGCCAGCTTCCTTCTCCTGGGACTTGTCTTCACACGCATGGAGAACAGTGACTTTCCTTTCATATTTCCTTTCAGCTCTTCAAAGCTTCATGATCTTGACTCCTCTCTGTCCCTCCCTTTTCCCTCTTACACCTCCCTGACCCTTCCCAGGGCACCGCCGCTTTCGGGATTTTCTCCAGCAGTCGCTCTTCTAATTTTTGTCCTTCCTGGAACCTGACCCTGACCAACAGTTCTTAACCTTTGTTTGTGTCATGGACCCCTTTGGCAGTCTGGTGAAGCTTCTGGGACTCCAGGATCACATTCATTGCCTACGTTAATAAATTAAGGAAATGCTACATTGCAGTTAGAAGTTAGTGGAAAATAAAGATGTCATTGTGCCCCCCATTCAGTTTCAAGCTTCCCCTGAAATCCACCTACGGTTAAGAACTCCAGGTTAAGAACCCGTGCAACAGGGTTCCTCAAATATTAGCTTGGTCCTGGCAGGCAGGGTCTCAGACGTCATCACCAGTCTTCTAGGTCCACTCCTTCCTCTTTCTTCCCAGATTCTCCACTTGGCCTGGGGCTGCCTTTAAATACCTTCCACATCAACATACTTCTGTTTACCTTCAGGCATAACAAACTAATGAGGAGCGAAACTGCAAAGGTTTCTCTTCAAAGGCAAAGGACAAAAAGGGCAAAATACTGCTTTTCGCTTTGCCCCACCTGAACAACATTATGGATCTGCTGTGGTCTCCTGGGCTCCTTTGTCCCTAAAATGGAATCAGTTGTGAAGGTGTTGAGGGTTAAGTATAGTGCAGTGAATAGAGCTCTGGATCTGGAACCAGAAAGACATGGGTTCAAATTATACTTCAGACACCTGCTAGCTGTGTGACCATAGGCAAGTTATTTAACTAGATATAGATAGAGAACTGTCTTAGTTTCCTCATCTATAAAATGAGGGGATGGGCCTTGTCCCTTCCAGCTCTAAAATCTATTAAATATGGTATGTACTACACCATGGCACCACTTCCCATCCATGCCTTCCTCTTTCCTCACCTCCCAAAAGTTGAGTTTGGGCCCTAAATAATCTCACATTTACTTTAAAAGATTTGTGAGCCCTTTACCAGCTCATTCGATCTTCACTGTTGTTCAGCTGACTCCTACTCTTTGTGACCCCATTTGGGGTTTTCTTGGCAAAGATATTTGGAGCGGTTTGCCATTTCCTTCTGCAGCTCTTTTTTAAAGATGAGGAAACTGAGGCAAACAAGGTGAAGTGACTTGCCCGGGGCCATACAGCTAGGAGGTGTCTGAGGCTGGATTTGAATTCAAATCTTCCTAACTCCAGGCTCAAAGCTCTGTCCTCCGTACCACCTAGCACCACTCGGTGCTTGTGGCCTTGAGGAATTCCACTTCCCAGTCAAATTCACTTAACTGATGCTTCCTCATTCCTAACATTTCATCTCTCAGGCTTTACACAGGCTGTCCTACTATGTCTGCAGTTCACTTCCTCTTCATGTCTGCTTTCTGAAATCCCCAGATCCTTTCAAAGCTGAACTCAGGGGCTACCTCCCAACCGAGGCCTTCTCTGACCACCACAGGAGCTGCTAGTACCCCCTAAGAAATTACTTTTTACTTACTGTGTACATATTTTGTATTTTTCTTATAAGGGCACATGTTCTTTCCCCACCCTACCTCCCATAGAATGGAAACTCCTTGAGGAAACGGATTGCTTCATTTTTCTTTGTATTCCCAGCCCCCAACACAGTATTTGGAATATAGTAGATAAATAAACAACTTGTTGACTGCTCATAATAGATGCATAACAAATGTCTGCTGAATTTACCTTTTTCCCTCAGTCTAAATACAAGTCAAAGAACTACAGAGTTCTATTCTGACACAGTTTCTGGGCAGCAGTATAATTCAAGCAAAATCATCTTTTCACCATTTAAAAAAAAAAATTTTATAGAACAGCTAGGTGGTGCAGTGAATAGATCACAGGCCACAGAGTCGAGACGACCTGAGCACAAATCTGGCCTCAGACACTTATTAGCTGTGTGTCCCCTGGGCAAATCACTTAACCCTGATTGCCACCAAAAAGAAAAAATTCTACCATGTTGGCAGTTCCATTTTTCATAACTATGTTTACAGATAACAGTGGCAAAGGGAAACTGATCTCCATAATGCAAAAAAAAAAAATTACATTTAAGCTGTCTTTCTTTAATCCTATCTTTTATTTTATACTTTTTTAAAAAAATGCCTCTTAAAATCATTTCAAGTTTTCTTCATTATGGAGAAAATAAAGTTCTCCTCTTACAATATTGTGGGAAACCAAATATAGATAAAACTCTTTAATTTATCATATACCAGTGAAAATGAAAACCAATTTTTCATCAGGGACTTAAAGGCATTGAATGGGAAAGATATTTTCCTTTACTTCCTGGATAGCATTGAAAGTCAGTTTCCTTATTTGTAAATGAGGAGGGGTGGGAAAAGAGTTAAACAAGATGACCTCTAAGCTCCCTCGAGGCTGCTAAGTGCTGCAGGGTACTGAGGGCTGGTCCTGGAGTCAGGAACACCTGAGTTCAAATCCTACCTCAGATACTTACTACCTCTGTGACTCCGGGGCAAGTCACTTAACTTCTGTTTGACTGTTTCCACAATTATAAAACGGGAATAATTACAGCACCTACCTCTGAGGGTAGGCACAATCCCTTCTCAGAAATAAAAATCTTCGATCTTACAAAGTGAATTATTGAATTGTATGATTTATACTTCTCCACAGAGCACATGATAAATAGACTAGTCAGTTCTTATGGGTGTATCCTAACACATTGCAGGGCTAGCCTCCACAATCACTCAGGCAGGTTGGTGTTTGTGTTATTATTGTTCTTGCTAATAATACTAATAGCCACTCCTATTCTGCCACCTACCTGAGTTTAAAAATTTTAGGGAGTCCATCCAGTTTGCCCACCCCTGGCTTCTGCCCACTTAGCTCACACACCTGTCTCTTCAAGCTCTTCTGTAACATTACACATAACCCTGACTGTTATTCTTTCCACCTGTAAACACATATTAACTTTATTCTTCCAAATACCTACATTATCTTGAATGAATGAATGAATGAATGAAAAAGCTATTACATACCAGGCACCCCAATAAGGACTGCAGGCATAAATACAAGTGAGCAAGACAATCCTTGCTCTCCAGGGGCCTACACTCTAATGGTGGAAGACCCCCTCCCCCCTCGCCCCCCACATGAATGGTGGCCAGGGATGAAATATTTTGGACAGGGAGGTAAGAAAGAGTGCTGGATGAGAACACTGGACTTGGAGACAGGAAGTACTGATTTTCAGTCTGGCTTCAGATACTTACTAGCTGCATGTCCCTGGACAAGTCATTTAATCTCTATTTGCCCCAGTCTCCTCATCTGCAAAAAGGGGATGATGATAATAGCATCTACCTCCCAGAGTTGTGGTATCAAATGAGATATTTGTAAAGAACTTTGCAAACTTTAAAATGCTATTTAAATGCCAGTGACAACTGTTACTGTGATTGGAGTAATAGGGCAATTGATTGAGATCTCCCTATCAGGAATGCCAGTATTGATTTAACTGCTATTCCCAGGAAGTAGGATTGAAAAGTAGAGGGTGTGAAGGGAAGACAAAAGTGTAAGCTGGGGAGCAAGCTGAATAGCATGGAAAGAGCCAGAAGTGTAACTGTAGGTCTAAGATCAGATAAAAAATAAGGTGAAACCAGGACTGTACTGATAAATTTTCAGTATGAGCATTTACAACTCAGAAATCAGCAAATGCTATAAGTCAGGGATGGACTTATTGTTTTGTCCTAATCCAGGTCTGACTATCCCTTCTACACCAGAACTGCACAAAAAAAAAAAAGTCAGCCATTCATTAACCAGTAATGGGAAAGGAGGTCATTAGCAAAACCAGGACCAAAACAAGTCAGCAACCTCCAAGAATGTCCAGAGACAAGGAAGACACAAATACAGCCTGCAAAGTACTGTGTCCTGAGGCAAACAGATCAGAATGCTGTCCCCAGAATGCTGTCAGAAACTGACAGAACTTTGGAAGCCGGTAGGAGTAGCAATAACTCCCAGGGACTCCCAGGTCCCTAGTACTCTGTCCTGAGACACAACAGGGAGCCCTGAAAATCAAAGGTGACCTAAGCCTGGGAGGTAGATGAACCCAGGTGTCTCAGTAAAATTAATTAGAGCCAACCACCCCATCCCAAATTGCAGCAGGGACCGGAGCTTGGCCTTTGCACAAAGCCTAATTCAGGAGCTAAAGCTGGAGATATAAATAAAACAAAGAAGATACCAACCAGTATAAAAATTATTGTAGTCCTAGGGATGCCCAAAAGTCCATCCTAGTCGAAAGTAACTCCACTACTACAAGAACAGTCCCAAAGGAAAAAATGGTTTTTTCACAGGTACTACATGAGAGGATTCTGAAAGGGCAGCTAGGTAACATAGTGGGTTGAGCACTGGCCCTGGATTCAGGAGGACCTGTGTTCAAATCTGGCCTCAGATACATAACACTTACTAGCTGTGTGACCCTGGGCAAGTCACTTAACCCCATTGCCTAGCCAAAAAAAAAAAAAAAAAAGAAAAAGAGAGGATTCTGGGAAGATGAGGGAACAAAACAGGAAATTACCTGGCCATCTCAAATTCCCCCACAAAAAAAAAATGTAAAATACTGCCTCAAAGTGAACTTTAGAGCAGCAGAAATAATTAAAAGTTGGGGTAAAGCAGTTGTCCAGCTGAAGACAACTTGGGAGGACATTAGGAAAGACCTGACCTCCTGAAGTGGTGGTCTGGTCTGATCAAAGTGCAGCTATCTCCAGGCATATACCACCCAAATTAACAAATGATAGCCTGGGGTAGCAGCCTCAGCTTCAAGAACTTTTATACCCGACAACAGGGTAGGGGTCTGGCAGCTGATCAGCAGAAGATTGCAGGGCCCTCTGCTGGACATGGCCAAGGTGCACTGATCTGATGTAATTGCAGATTTGGAAGAATAGATATCTTAACAACAGTAGTAACTTTTTTTTGCATCATGGACTCCTTTGACAATCTATTGAAGCCTATGGGTGCCTTCTCAAAATCATATTTTTAAAGGCATAAAACAAAATACAGATTGCAAAGGAAACTGATTATGTCGAAATACAGTTATCAAATCCAAAACAAAACAAGTTCACAGACTTCAGGCTAAGAACACCTAGCTTGGAAGAGTAAGCGGTGAATCTTATACAACTAACGGGTTCCCTGAAAACAAGAATCAATGGAACAGAAGTCAGATTCCATGAGACAGTGAAAAATATAATAAACTCAAAAGTTTGTGAAAAATAGAAGAAAATAAGATGCTTGATATCAAGATAAAACCTATCTGGAAAACAGGTCTAAGAGAAATAATTCAAGAATTATTAGAGTCCTCATCTGAAAA